GTGCATGTGCAGAGCAACACTGGGCATGATCACAGTGACTGATCCATCCAGCAAAACACTGACATGTCCTGGACATAACAGAGGTTGGGGCTTCTGGAGACCCCAAACCAGCTTCTTCTTTAAAAAAAAAAAGCATAGAGAAAGTCATATCCCTGGCATTTTTCACGTGGATTAACTTGGCAAGCTCCATGACATTTGGCACCGCTGGTAGCTCTACTATGGCCTGATGTATTTTGATGTTCTAACTCCAATCAGACTGTGTGCTCTAGGACGGCATCACCTGCAGGAGCAGGTGGCCTGAGGACAGGGATGGACCATGCTCACACATTCACCTTTCCCAGAGGCAGAAAAAAACAGGGCTGTGTTGCTGAAAGGCTGCAAAAGGAGGGACTCTGCAGGCTAAGGCCTCTTCAGAGCCAGAAGCTTCTGGCATGGTGTGTGGCAGTGAGATGGGAGTTCTACACTAAGCAGTGTGTGTGCTCTCCTGCAAATCCTCCTTCCACACTGAGCCAGCCCTGTGACTCGGAGCAGACTTCAGACAGAGACACAGAGGCCCACTGGGAAAAGGAGGGGTGAAAATAAAAATGAAAATAGAAACGTTCTATCACCCTTGCAGTGCTGTTACTGTGCTCCAGTGGGTACAGACCGTGGACACAAAGCAGCCCAGTGTGTGCCAGCTGTGTGCAGCCACAGCGAGCACACAGCCAGACAATGTCCATGCTGGGACAGAGACATTCACAAACCTACACTCCAAGGGGAAGCAGGGGGAGGCAGTCAAGGGGGGGGGGGGGGGGCAGAAATAATTAGTGCAAATTCCTAGTTTAGGTAAACACATCTAGAGAAAGGCTCGCTCTGGCACAGGGAATTAATATCCTGTTAAACCAGTTGAAGAGGTCACCAGTAAACAAGCGGCACTCCCAACACTCCTTCGTGCCAGGGCTGATAGGACACCAAGACAAGTGGCTGAGAGCAGGGAGCTGGGGACGCTGCAGCATCTGCCTGCCGGTGTGCAGCTGCAGCCAGCTTGTGTTCTCTGCAGCCACAGTCTCACCACAGCACTTCTGCACTAACAGCAACAGCCCTGGGCTTTGGGAAAGCTGCCTCACTGCCTTCACATAGCCCCAGGGAGGACTGGCCAGCACACAAAAGCAGCCAGGGGTGTTGGGCTAATGTCAGGTTGGTCAAGGTCACAGCCCTGCTTGGGATCCCTGCCTCCGGCTGGAGATAATTTAGAGAGTGGATTGTATAAATTAAGAGATAAGAAAGGAGATGTACACTGGCTCCTTCAGTATGGGGGCCTACCTGCTCCAGGGAGTCCACCCTTGGCACATGCCTGTGCTGCTGCTGGCATAGACATTCCAGCACAAAGACTTTAAAAGGACATGTTGGGAACTGAAGGTCTCCAGATGATGCTCCAGCAGCAAAAGAGAAAAAAAGGACAGAATAAAATTGCTCAGGACACAGCATTCAACTTCATCCTCAATGGAAAGCCTGAAGCACAGAGGAGCTGCTGGCAACTCACCTCTGCAGGCACAGAAGTGGAACTCAGGCTGCAGAGGTGTGAAGAAAAGGTAAGAGCCTCAAGAGAGCAGCAAGGGGAAGCACCAGGGCTGGGACAGCCTTGGGTCAAAATGCACTGAGAGTGAGCCACAGACCACATGTGGAGCTCTGCACCTTGGGGCCTGGGTCTTCTTCTAAGAGTGCAGAGCCTCTGGGATGCTTTCCCTTCCCACCAGGGAAACTCAGCTTCTTTCCCAGGAGATCCAGGAACAGAAACCACCAAGGCTGCATGTTTCCCACGGCCCACAGTGAACAGAACTTAAGAATAGCAAGATAGCTGTGTGTCTTGCACAGAGAAGCTGCGTAGTCCTGAAAGACTTCAGCTGCATTCGTCTCAGTCCTCATGGAGAACTTTATACAGTGCTCAAAATGCCATTTTCTGGTGTCCAGCCCCAAGATATGCCTTGCTCTTAAGTCTTGTGTGAAATAGAACTGCTGGAACAGTGTGTTTCTCGTAAGTGTTGGTGGGTCTAAACACAAGAAAGGACAGAATTCCCCAAAAGAGCTTGGGTACCTGTGGGTTCTCTCTTAAAGACAGAAAAATTTCGTTTTCCTTCCTGGACACACCTGGGCTGCACTGCAGGGAGAGTGCTTGCAGCAGGGCAGGATCCCTTAGCAGGTGCTGGATAGATCAGGCATGGCCTGATCAAGAAGGTGTTACCCCTTGCCCTCAATCAGACTGAGGAATGCTGTTCTCTACAAACACCCAGTGATCACAGCCCTGGTATCTCCTGCCTAAGCCCTGGAGGGGAAAGACAGCCCAGCTCCCTGGCATTACACGCCATGTGTTTCCATAGAATGCACTGGTCAGTGCCAGGCACCGGCATGGGATCAGGCTCCCGGGAAACCCCACTAAACACAAGGTTGCAAGGACTGCAAGGGACTGCAAGGCAGGGGCTTACCCAGCAGAGCCTGGAAGAGTTCACTTTGGAAGATGTGCGAAACTTTTCCAATGGAAGCTTTTAACTCCTGCTCCTCCGGGGACTGCAGGGTGCTTTGGTATCTGGTCAGAATTTCCACTGCCCGTTCAGTGTCTGCAGAGATGACACAGGAGTAACAAGGCATTAACATTGCAGGATGCTAAGGGAAGGCTTGAGTGCAGCCTGGGATTATGCCTCAAGCTGCCTTCCAGTCTGGATTTTTAGAAGTCCGACAGCCACAAAAGCAGACTTCCTTACACACACCTGGGAAAGCTAACCCTGCTGAGAGCCATTGAGGGCTGCCTGCAGAGACCTGAGCAGGGACTGAAGGAAAAGTTAGTTCTGCCACCAACCCTGAAAATCAGGGGCTAAAATCAGATTGACTCAACTCTGAACCTTGTGACACTGGGCAGCCTGAACACCTCTGCCACCTCCCAGACAAGGAATCTGTTCAGGAGCTGGACACATTCTGGTTGCACAGGGCTATGAATACTACTGCAGGAACTGCAGCCTCCCACACAGGGCCAGATGGCTGCAGCAAAACTGAGCATAGGCCCATTCACAGTGCAAACAGCTCAGCTACAGGAGTGGCAAAACTTGGGTTTCTACAGGGTGAAGCATAAGAATTGCTCAAAGCAGCAAGCAGCTGTGGGTCAGCAGGAGACAAATGGGAAAGGAATACAATGCCTTGCGGTCAGAGGAGATGCTGGTGAGGAGGAGAACTGGAAGCTGCCATGAAGCAACATTTTGGTTAATGACAGCTATCAGAAAACCCTGGACCTAAAATAGTGCAGCTGTGATCTCCCCACCTGGACACCTCCACACTTCTCTGGGCAGACAGCCAGTGCAGCCTCGACCTCAGATGTGACCCATACCTCAGGCAGGTAGTGAGCTCCTGTGGACCTTCAGACTATCCCTGTCCCATCAGTGATTACTTAATTCACTTTGTCACCCAGGCAGACTGCAGACAAAGAGTGTCTGTGTGAGAAGGCAGGGAAGCTGTCCCGCCACTGCTGGAGACTCATCTTTGAAGCCAGGAACTCATGCAGAAAGGATGACCCTGCTCATTAGAGGGCTCTTGAGAATTCAGGTCATCAAACAAGGGGGCCTGTGTCTGCTTGGGTATGTTCCACCCGGTATCCCAACTCACCCAGCCTTCTAGCTTCTCCTCGGCTGAAAAGAAAAGGGGGTCCTACTGCTGGTGTCACCAGCCCACACTGACTCATCGTGGGACCTGAACCAGGGAAAGGAGTCTGGGGAAGCATGAACAGCTCTGACTTGGAGCTGGGCTCCACACTTACTCCAGGAAAAGCATGGACTTCCTTGATGGCTTTACGGCAATCCTAGACTTGTGCTATTACTAAGAGCTTCCTTTTCTGCATGGTGAAACAGTGGCTTCAAACACTGCCTAGCATACCATGAGCAGGGCTGAGATATCACTGCCTGGTCATTCCTGACCTTATCAGCAGAACTAAAGAAGCAGATGGAGAGCTGGGGGCCACCACACCAGGACACAAAGACTGCGAACCTGGTAAACTTTCCACTGTGCAGCAAGAGTGGCAGGCACCGCGCTGACCTCTGTGCTGCTGGCCACCCGCACCCGGTGACAGCCAGCCGGAGCAGGGGACTGCGGGCTCCCGATCTGGGGAAGTGCTGCGCACCCAGCGTGGCAGGGAGACCGCAGGACCGTTCCTACAGCTCCCAAGAAATAGCACACGGTGTCCAGGGCCCATGCCCACGTGCCTCAAGGTGCACGCAAGTCCCACGTACAGAAAATCCCTTCTCGCAGAACCTAAACCCCCATGGCCGCTCTCCTCCCCGCAGCACGCAAGGGATCTGCAAGCAGAGCATCTCGCGGCCACCCACTCTGAGACACGGCAGCACAACGTGTCCACAGGCCGAGGAGGGCGTGGAGCGAGAGCGCCCAGTCGTCGGATCTTAACTCCCGGGTCGCACGGCCGCCCGTGGTGCGGAGCGAGGGCGGGAGCTGCCAGGCAGGAGCGCGGAGCACCGGGCGCGGTCCCAGCGGGGCAGACACTTGTTGAGCGCGGGGCCGCGGTGCCCCGGCGCGGCGGGCAGGGCCGGGGAGTGCGTTCCTTACCTTCCCGGCGGATCATCGCTCCGCCGTGGCCGACGGCCGCTCCGCTCCGTGCCAGCCCGCGAGCGGCCGAGCCGCCGCGCCCCGCCCGGGAGCCGCCCCCCGGCCGCAGGCACCGCCTCCGGGAGCGCCCCGCCACCGCCGCCCTGCCCCGCGGCTCCGCTCGGAGCCCGCCGGGCTGCGGGCGGGCTCAGCCTGCGCCCCGCGAGCCGCGCCCGGCTCCGCCTCGCCTCCCTGCCCGCTGCGGAGGGCCCGGCCGCCCGCCCGGCTCCCCGCCGGCAGTAGGTGGCACGGAGGCGCCGCGGAGCGAGCCCGCCTCGGGCCGGTACCGTCCGGGCTGCGCCGGCTCCTTCTCCGGGCCGGCAGCGCCGCCGGCAGGGAAAGGTGCGGAAGGGAGGACGCAGGCGTGCCCGCCGCACCCCTTCAGGATCGGTCTGCCGCTCCTCTGCTTTATTGACATAAATAGACAGCAGCAAGTCAAACCGATACGATACCCATCTCCCTGCTCAAGGCCCTGCTGCAACGTGAGCAGCAGCAGGAGCGTGAGCACGGTCCTGCCAGCTCCTGACACCCACCACCCCCAGCCCCGATCCTTTTGTTTCCCGAGCAACAGGCATTAACTGCTGCATGGAGTGCCAGGACCCTGTCCTGTGAAGATGAAGGCAGCAGCAGTAGGGAAAGGATTTTATGTCCAGGATGAGAGGGTGAAGAGCTCGGCATTCCCTTTGTCTTTTGAAAAGCCACTACACATCCACATCCACCCTATTCCCTTTCTATTCCTCAAGCCATGGGATAGGGCAGCCCCTAGGGGAACAGCCCTTAAGCCAGGTGTCTCATCCCTGGCTGCAGAGCTGCTGACAACAGGCAGAGACAGCCCTTCCCCTCCACCAAAGAGTGACCCAAATCCCCGCTCCTGTCCAAACCTCATGGGAGAGGTCTCAGCTCCAGTACTGCTGGATAAATATTCTTCCCCTAGGCCACCCCTGCAAAGCTTTAGTTCCTTGCTGCTAGCTTGGCAATGAAAACTCAGTTCCAAGTCTTTTCAGATGAGGGCAGCTGTGCACCATGAAAGGAACCACGAACACCACGGTAGAAGTGAGGCTCGAAGGAAAGGAGCCTTGCAGTGGCCTGAGGAGTGCTCCCCGCTTGAGCTGTGCAGGGCTCTGGCTGCCTTTCCCCACAGCTGACACAGGCGTTACTCTTGCATCAAGCTGTTGATCTTTGTGAGCAGCACATCTGTCTCAGACTCTGAGGAGACAGAAAAAAACAGTCATTGTGGGCAGCCACCATCCCACATCGACAGGCAAAGTAGCCTAAAAAGCAGGTTTGAGGATATTCGGGAAATGTGGGATTCCCTAGTGCTGTCCCACAGGGCTACTTGTTAATGGCAGGACAGGAGAAACTCCCTGAGCTGGGATTCCCTTCCCTCCCCCAGCCATGCCAAACCATTCCATCACGTTTGGCTGGAGAAAGCTGCCTGCCTGTCAGGGAGAGTCCCACAGGCAGAGCCTGGCTCCAAGGGAGGGAAGCTCCCCTTCCGTGTGCACTCACCCGCTGGCCGTCTTCTGTGGGAACATTTCCTAGGAGACGGAATAGGATCGATGTTAGCATGCAAGTCTGGTCTCACCATTCCCTCCCCTGAGCTGGAGGCTGTGAGGCCCCTCAGTCCCAGAGGGAACTGCTCTCAGTGCCTGCAGCACTGGAAAAAAGGAGCAGGACCAGGATCTCCCAGCTTCAACCCACCAAACCCTGGGGTGCAGAGTGGGCTAGCAAGTGTGAACTAAGGCATCCAGCAACCTGAGGCAGGGTCAGGGCAGACTTTTAGCTGCAGCTTGCAGATAAAAGCTACCCCCACACTCTTCTGTTTTACTTAGCCAGACACAAGAGGACACCCCCAGTATCTGAATCCAGAGAGGAGTGGCAGCAGTTTTGGGTCTGCATCAGCCACCCAGGGCACACTGCAACCTCCCCCAACAGACCTGCCTCAAGAGGGGAAAGGGATCAGACCTACTTCATCAAGAAAAAAGCCCAGATGATGATAAGGAAGGAAACGCAGTCTACAACGATCCAGATCATGAAGTACGTGCTGCTGGGCTGCAAGGCAATGAGACGAGCCACTGAACGCCAGCTGGGGTGCTGTGCTGTGGCACAGCCCTGCCTGCTGTGCCACCAGTTCCTTCTACAGGGTCGCATGCTCCCATGCCAGCAGTGAGCAGAAGTCACCCTCCAGGCAGCTGCACAGGGCTGCTGCAGAAAGGGACCCACAAGTGTCTAGGACACAGGGCTGTGGGCAGGGTGAAGGATGGAGGGGTCACTTACCAGAAGCCAGATGGGGTGTTTCATCTCCTTCAGCACCTGGCAGGCGTTGGTGGTGACAGAGCTCACCCCTGAACACCAAAGCACGGAGAAGAGCCAGGGCTGGTTCACCACATATAAGTTGACAGAGATGTTCTCCTGGCGGTACTGCCTGCATGGGGACAGCCGTGATCAGAATAGCAGACAGCAGGGCACCACCACACTCTGCACAGCCAGAGGGGGCTGTACATTTGGGATATGATCCAGCATTTGCAGCCACATGGAACAACTATCTGGAGATCCAGACTGAGGGCAGATTTGCTGGCAGGGTCTGAGGACTGCAGCCAGCTGCATCCTCTGCGACAGCCCTGGCTGATAGGGACACTTGTTCACAAGGCACACTCCCAGCTGTTCCCAGAAGCACACCAGTACTCAGTACCCTCACCTCTGCTGCCCCCTGGGACAGTCCTGAGACCCTCATAGCTCCCAGGCACTTGGACAAAGCGTTTTCACCTGATCTCCTCAGAGCTCATGTCCTGGTAGGGAAGATTGATGCGCAGTACTGCCTCCTTCTCATTCTCAGACCTCTTCCGACCGTAGACATGCTGGACACCTGGGGCCTGCTGTTTGACATCTTCCCTGAACCCATCTGGAAGCCAGAGGACCTAGGCGAGAGCCAGAGAGCATGTGCAGAGGAGAGCTGCTCCAGAGAGTGGGCTCTCTTCCAATATTCCCTCACAGGTCCAGGCCCACATGGCCTGCTTAGACAGCTGCTTCCTGCCCCCGGTCTCCACACTCAGCTCTTCCATGAGGATCTCAGCCAGGACAGTCTCCTAAGAGCTTGCCCCAGCCAGGAAGTAAGCAGAGGTCCCACTGAAGGGGGAAAGCAATTCTAGCTTAGGAAATCTGCAACAGTTAAGTCCTCTTTGGGTCCTTGAATGGCTCAAGAAGTGAATTCATTTATCCCCAGCTCTGCAGCAAGAATGCACCTTGGATCACCACTATATAAGTAGTCATTTTTATGTCTCCTCCTGCTCTGCATTCCCAAAAGGCCAAGAAACGTGATTTGAGTGCTGATTTGTCCCCTGAGGCAGCAGATATCCTGTGCTGCAGGGGTTGGATGAAGCATAAAGGAACACAGGAGAGTTCAGCAGGAGTCCAAGAGCTGCAGGGAGAGGTGTGGTGGAGTGTGGGGAGGTGAAAGCTTCAGCATTGTATTCCTGCTCATGCTGGCAGTGCTGGTCTCCTCCCTCGCCTGAGTCATTGCTTACACACCAGGCTGGCCAGTGCTGGGAAACCAAAGTATTTGGAGGGGTCTGAAGTATTTTGAGGGGTCTGAAGCCATAGGCATTAAACCCTAATTATTGGCAACTTCTCCCAGCTAGAAAACCCCACACCTGGGCAGGGCTGCCCAGCAGGGATCACGTATGGGGACAGGGTGTATGGGGTGTCAGGGATGGTCAGTGTGGCTGGCAGGGCACCTCCCACCACAGCAGGGGTGTGACAGCAAGGCCTGGCAGGGGTGGGGTGGTGACCAGCTCACCTGCTGCAGCGGGATGCCTGACTGTAAAATCACTCCTAGGGTGACATTGACAAAGTTCTGGTAGTCACTGTGGTTCTCAGGCCGAAGGTCAAACATGATGGAGATGTTGCTCTGCTTGGCTGCCTCTAGAGCCTGTTCCAGGGAGGGGATCCTCTGTTCAGCTGCCTCCTTGCGATCTCCAGGAGAAAGACTCTGCACAGTGGGAAATGGCCTCCGCTGCAAGGGTGAGATGGGGGCAGTCATCGCAGGCAGACCACCTGTCAGCTTCCACATCCCAAACTGGTGCCTGGGGGACTCCCAGTCTCTGATTCTCAGTTTCCAACACTGGCCTCTCCACTTGCTCTCCAGTGCAGACGGGCACAGAGAACCTCCCTAAGCACATCCATGGACCTGCACCCTTCTCCCCACTAACAGCAGAATTCAAGCAGCCCCAACACCTGTGGGCATTCAAAGCTGCTCAGCAGTAGTTAGTCATCTTTTGGGAAGAGTCTGGCCACAGCTGCCTTCAAGCCCAGGCAGGTTGTGCTCAGAGCAAATATGAGACATCCCCTCTCAAAGCAGCCTCCTCCATGACTCAGCTGAGGAGTCAGAACAAACTGCAGCTTGGGGCATAACTGCACCCAAGGGATTTGTGCAGGCTTCTGGACCCTGTCCATGTGTCTGCTAGGACCAGGAAAGATGCTGGAATCCCAGGGCAGGGCTAATGCTTCACCCAAAAAACCAACCACCCTAAGGACATTCCTGACCTCCAGAAACCAGCTGCCAGCATCTAGCCGCTGGAGGTCTGTCCAGTTGAAGGCAGTGCTGTTCAGGGCAGCCCTCTCAGGAAACACAGCCTGCACATTGGTGGTCCTGGTGAGTTCCTCGTCATGCATGAGGAATGGGACCCCATCAGCACTGGCAAAAGAACACAGAGGAAAGCCATATGTTGTAAGTTGTTTGTCTCCTATCCCTGCCTTAGCATTTCTACCCCCTCCCAGCCACCTGCCAGAGTAACCCTCATCCTTATTCTGCTTGTGGCCCTTTACACAAAAATGTGCACCTAAAGATCAAGCCACCAACCAAGTATTTCCTTGCTCTCGGAAACACCTGTTCAAATAACAGGATTACATGAGATGAACTGGAGCCAGGGTCTGTTTTCCAAGCAGTACCCCTTCCCTGAATGGAGCCTCCCTTCCCAAAAGGCAATCTGCATGGGGAGGACAGAAACCCAGTACCTCTCCCAGATCACTGGGACACCAAGCTGTCCATACTGGGAAGGTGGGAGTGGCAGAGCCCTTTGAACAGGGCTGTCTCCAAATGCAGGCTCTATCAGTCCTCCAGGTGTCTTCCAGAATGCCCCCTGTGGGAGGTGACATCCCAAGAGACACAGATCCCCTTCCTCCCTCTGAGCCCCTTTACCTCACCATGACGTCTGTCTCAAAGACTTGCACATCACAGTCCACTGCCTTGTGCAGTGACATGAGGGTGTTCTCAGGAGCCAGCTGGAAAAAGGAATGGTGTTAGTGCAGAGAGCGTGGGCAGGATGGGGCAGGGGGCACTCATCCTGCCTGGATGCACCAGCAGCTTGGCCTGGTTCTAGGGCAACCACAATGAGCCTGGTGTGACCTGGACGTGGTGGGGGGTGGAAAAGGACTGGGGATAGACAGCCAGAGCCTGCTCATCCCTGCTCCCCAGCCCACACTACACAGCCAGGCCTTCTGCTGGGAGTCACATGCTCCTGGTCCAGCAGTGCTTAGGAAGAAGCTTTGTCCTGCAGCTGCTGCATCCCCTCCTCACCACACAGCCTCTTGAGCTGCCCTGGCTGCTGTGGGGATACCACTGTTCTGGGCTGGCCAGAGCTTGTCCAGGCCTGTGGCCACAAGGATCTGGCTTTTCCTAGTGGAGCAGCCTGCTCTCTCCACCTTGAGCACTGCCAGGGTGTTGGTCACTCACCATGGGTGCTCCTCGATGGCCAACTAGGGCTGGCTTGGGGGGCAGCTGGTTCTCCTCCATGATGCAAGGGGAGGCAATTCCCAAGGGAGCCAGGTATAGTGCAATCATCGCTGCACCGTATACAAGCAGCACAAACACCCTGAGACCTGCAGGCACAGACAGAAGTTAGAAGGAATGAGGTACAGAGGAAGTATTTTGCAGGTCACTAGGAATAAACCAAGGCTACTTCACCTGGCATTAACCTGTCATTGCCCTAGGTCAAACATTGCACCTTCAGCCTCAGGAACTGCGGATTTATTCTTGTCCTGCTACATGCCCTTGCCTAACTCAGCACTTCTGCAGTATTCTGACATCTGTAGCCCTCCTTCAGCTGCAAAGCAGGGAGGGCTGAAGCTGCAACAAGGGCTGGTCGTGAGAAGAAACCAAGAGCAGGCATTACTACAGCACTGGAGACCTGTTCCCACGATTGCACTGATGCTCCCCAAGTAGCACTCTGCCAACAGTGCTGCTCAGCTGCAGGGTGGCAGGAAGCAAGGCACCGGCCAAGGTGACAGGTGAAGAGCTAGGAGGGCGATTACCTGTATTGCGGGTGCGGTAGATGAAGCTGGCCAAGGGCCAGGCAAGGAGCGTCATTCCACCCACAGCTCCAATGTGCAGGAAGGGACCTGTTGCCTGGGGAGGCAAAAAAACCAGAGTGTCAGCCAGCACCAGTGCCTGTCCCCAAAATACACATGCCCCAATGCCAGGATCTGCCCCTGCAGCCAGTACTGCTGGAAGATCCACTGTGCAAGGGAGAGAGGGACAGGCTCCTGGCGGAGAGAACAGACTCCCTGCTCTAGTCCAGCCAGCAATCAGAAGTCTGGTGGCAGCTGCTCCAGGCAAAACTGCAGGGGTAGAAGGAGCACCTTGCCTGACCAGGCAGCAGAAGTCAAGGGCAGGGAATTCACCCCCAGTGCACACAGCCATGCTAGGGGCTTCGGTCAGCAGCCTTCAGCTCAAGCCCACAGGTCAGGCTCTGGGTACAGCAGGGAAGTCCCTGCTATCGAGGTGACTCACCTGCAGGGAGACACGTGCACTTTTCCACTCCTCCGCCCACTTTATTCCCAGCCCTGTGAAGGCTGCAGCCACCACCAGGGCAGTTAGGATCAGCAGGATCTGTGGAGCATGCACAGGGCAGTTAGGGGAGCACACAGCATCTTGCAGTCCAGGCAGACTCCTCATCCCTTCCTTATGAGCCCCTCCAAGCCCTGATACCCCACTTTCCCCATCTGGGTTTGCAGCTGAGCTCTGTGCTCTATGCTTTGAGCACTGGGAATATTCCCATCCCAGAGACATGTGGCTGAGGAACTGATGACTGGTCAGCAGAGATAGAGCTGCTTAGTGGGGTCACAGCAGCCATACACAGGCCCAGTAGGCTGGTCCCAGCTTCTGAAGGTGCAAGGACAGCCAGAGCAGGCACCTCTCCCTTCACCTCCAGACTCTCACCTTGTGCACCCAGTGTAGCTTCAAGGGCTGGCCACAGAGCTGCAAGCACAAAGCAAGGACCTGCAAGGGCAAGGAGCTGTCAGAGCTGGGCTGTACCCCACGCCTCACCCCTCACAGGGCACAGGACTCAGCCACAGAAGCTCAGGCCCCTGGCACAGGCAGGGGCTCTGGCTGTGCTCAGGCTGACCCGGCTCCAGATGCTGCAGGCTCCTCCCGGCACAGGGCAGCCTGTGCTCAGCACAGACCCATTCCCCCCCGCCCAGCAGGATCAGGAGGGCTCACCAGCAGCACAGACGAGTAGCTGATCAGCAGAGCTGTAGCTATGAGCAGGACCAGGGGCCAATCTAGCCACAGCTTCCTCTGCCTGAAGATGAATCTGCCAGCAAAGGGGAAGGTCAGAGGGGCAAGGGTGATGTGGGGAACAAGGCTAGATGTAGATCCTACTCACTCGCTGAAGTTGTGGAAATCATTGAGGATGATGATAGCGAAGTAGAGCCACACCAGTGTGAAGAGGAAGACGCAGAAGAGGAAAAGGAACCAGCTGCAGTCATACTGAAAGCCAGAGATGAAAGTTATACACGTACCCTCAGGGCACCTAGCCTCCAGGCAGGTTTCTGAAACCCCTGGGTATCACCCAGCCAGCAGCAGGGAGCACAGGGCATCACAGCAGGCCCAGGGGTCCAGGCACTGAGCTGCCATGGAGAGGGACCAGAGCCAGCCTTGGCTGGATCCACGCTACAGAAAGATGGATCAGCATGTCCTACAACAAACTAAAAATCTGCCTATGCCAGGCTGGGGAGAATAGCCCCTGTGTCAAGACTGCCTCCTCTCCCATGCAGCACTCCATGGGAACAGGCTGGGACTTTGGACATAAGGAGGAGCAGGGAGCAAGATCCCATTCCTTTCTAGGTGCATGATCCATGAGCTGGGCAGAGAGCAGTGCAGGGCCTCAGAACTGCCCTGGTAGTGGTGAGTTTGAGACTGGGTCCAGCTGCACTGTCCACAACCACTAGTACCACATGTGTGAGGGGTGCCACAGGCACCAGAGGGACACCTAGCAACCCAGACTTATTTGTACATTCCAGGCAAGACAGGACAAGCAGCAGCAGAGCCACTCCCATGGGAGTCGGAGACCTCAGAAAATCCCAGGGCCTCACCACTCCCAGGTTACAAATTGCTGGGGACACCCCCTTGGTGGGGCCACACCCAGCCCAGGAACTGTGTCTTCAACGTGCCTGGCCAGGTGCCCCAGGACCTGCTTGCCAGCTGAGCCCTAGGGCTCTGCTCTGCCCCAGGCACGTGCAAGCCCCACTGCAGATGTACACTAACGCTGCTTTACCCTTCTTGTCACCCAGCAGGAACACCTTCTCACTGCTCCAGGCTAGGGCAGTTCCTGGGCAGTGAGGGTGCCAGTTAGCACCCCAGCTTTCCTGGGGCTCAGGTCTGGGAAGCAGGAGCAGCAGCAAGAGGTCAGCAGCTCAGTGTTTTGGCTAAGCATCCCAGACAGAGCCCTTCCCCACCCCAGCCACCATTATGAGACTCCACAAAGGCAAGCCCCAGCTCAGCATCACTCAGGTATCACCTTGGTGGTTCTCAGGCCCTTCCTCTTCTCCTTCTTGGCAGTGACCCACTGGCAGCTGTAGGGGCAGAGCAGGCAGGTAGCACAGGTAGAGCAGCAACCAGGGGGGTCTGCCATAGCAGCAGACTGTCAGCAAAGGTCAGGTGTCCTGCGGGGATACACACAGTGTGTTGGCACAAACCTCTCACCATACTGGCTCCACCCCATGTGGATGGAGCACTGAAGCATTTTATGTCCAGGCACCCTGGCAGGTGGCCCAGGGTGCTGGGATGTAGTGGGGCTGCTGAGTGTGTCCCCAGGCAAGGCCTGGTGTCAGGAGAAGAAGCAGCACAGGGTGCAGCCCAACCTGTTCAGCAGGCTATGCTGGGACCCTTCACCCAACAAGCTGGAACAAGCCTGGAGCTGGCAGGGAGCAGGGCCCGCTCCTCTGCCCAGGGTTCAGCCCTCTGCCTGGGAGCCAGGACCACTATGCAGCAGCACTGTCCAGGGGCAAGCAGCCTAGCCAGTCAGCTTGACAGCAGCATTGCACCCAGGCTTCCCCACCTGCAAGGACTGTCCAGTGCCATGCCATGACCTGGGAATTTCCTGTTCTTATCCCTAAGTCCAGGTCCTTGCTGATGCAGGACCATCCTGGCAGCCCCTTAGCTCAACCTGCACACCAAGGAATCCCAAGTGTGGTTGAAGGAGCTGCAGCTGAGCAGGCACTGGATGGCTTTAGTCTAAGTACTTGTGGGGGAGCCCATTTCTACAGTCACAGAGATCCAGGCTGGAGGCAGGGCCACCACTGAGTTCCCCATGCTGGCAAGGGGAGAGAGCCAGGATGCTTTGCTGTGACCCCCAGAGTCCTGGTGCTTGGCTGGAAGAAGCAGTGAGCCCAAAACAAGGTCTTCCTCAATCCATCTGGCAAAATCCCATCTTTACTATTGCTTGTGCTGCTGTGGAGCTGCTCCTCCTCACCCCAACCTCCCCAACAGGCCAGGCACACTATGCAACACTATCACCCTGCAGATTAAGCCTGGCTCTCATTTCACTGTGACCACTGAGCCAGGCATGAGAGACAACTGACCACATCCTCCCAGCCACATCCTCTCCAATGTTGGAAGCAATGGTGTGCCTCATAGAGCTGTGTCCCATTCCAATCTGGGCTGTGGAGAGAGGGAGCAGAGCTAGCCCAGCCCCTCCCTGGCTCAGCCAGCCAGACCAGAGCAGCTCTGCCATTCCCTAGCTGTGGCCAATGTCAGCCTGCTCTGCCCCTGTAACAGGGCAGCATCCCAGCCTGGCACCTTGCTCCTAAGTACCACTCCATGGGAGTCTCCAGGGCTGGGGGGCAGAGCCTGCCTGACCCTGAGCACAGGGTCACACACAGGCAGGCAGCACCCTATGAGCAGGACCCTATCCCTGGCCAGGCAGCTTCTGCAGGCTCGGCTATGTCCAGGGGCTGCCATCAGCAGGTCCAGCCAGTCAAGGCACAGAGGATGATGAGCAGCAAAACAGAGCCCCACATCTGCTGCCCCCTCCACCTTCTGCCACAGATCAGCAGCTGTGACCTACTCAGTGATGGCACTGAGGGAGTCAGCCTTAATACAAGTACAGATATTTCCCTTCCTGATGCCCAGGAGCTCTGGTTGCAGGCTCATACCCCTGCTGTCACCAGAAATAGTCACCACTTCCACCAGGGACCAGTGGGCTCAGCCAGTCTTCACCTGGAGTCACTCTGTTCCCTGTCACTGCTCACGTGGGCAGAGCACTGGTGTCAGCAGCTCCTGGCAGGCTCCCACGCAGGGTTCGCAATACAGAAGGAGTGGCTGTGGGCACCAGCTGCAGCTCAGCTGCTCCAAGGGACTGTTGCCGCCAAGACTGGAGCTTGGCAGAAAGTGGCACAGAACTAGTCACAAATCTTCCCCAGTGGTGCTGTCTGGAGGGTTTGGAGGGGAAATGCTACCCTGTTCTCCAGCTCAGAGTGTGACTACAGCAGTAGCATTAGTGGTTATGGCACAACACCTCTGTGCAGGGCACACATCCCAGACAGAGCAGGGATAGGCACATGCCAGACCCTGCTCAGCTTCTGCTCCAGGCTCCAGCGGGAGAGCAGCAGAGTGGGAGCTGGGGCTCCATCACGGCTGGAAGGACCCCTCCTTTAGGCCACACCAAACAACCCCCACAGCACGCTCACAGCCCTAGTGTGTGAGGCACAGGGAATCTGAACGGGTAACTAACCCATTGCCACAGTCACCCGACACGGCAGTGTGTGCTGGTAGCCTCACAAAGACCTCTGTGGCCCAGGGTTACTCGCACAGGACAACCTGGTGGCCATATGCAGATCAAGATCCCCTTGTCCTGGAGGAGCCGAGCTGAGCCAGCCCAGGCTGTGTGCCACCGGGCAGGTCAGCAGAAGCTGGAGCCTAACCCCACTGTTCCCTTTCCTCGTAGGACACAGAATAGAACATGGGCTCAGTAATGGGGCATAGGGTGACCCCAAAACAGCAAGAGCGGCACAGCCTAGCACAGATTCCCCACTCTCAGTCTCATGCCCGGGCAGCCAGTCCTGGGCTCCCCGTTCCTGCTCTCCAGAACATGGGAACAACACGGGCAACCGCCCGTTCCTTCCCCCCACAGCTTCCCGCAGAGCCGGGATCATCACCCCCTCCCCGTGCCGCCCTGCCAGCCCTGGCGGCACAGGACAGCATCCCCACGGCCGAGGCAGCCGCCCCGGCACCAAATACCTGCTCCCCGCGGACGTCGGGCTCCCGCAGCCGGGCCAGGTGAGCGCGGGGCTGGGCTCTCCCGGGCCCACGCGTGCCAGCACTCGGCTCTCGCGGCGCTCACACCCTGCTGGGTGTGCCTGCCCGGCAGGTCCGCACAGGCCGGCAGAGGCGGGCGGACTGCGAGCGGAGCGGGGGCCGGGCTGGGGTCAGGGCGGGCCCCGCCGGCCCCGAGGCAGCCGCGGCAGAGGGGGAAGGGGCCCCGGGGCTGTCACGCGTCGCAGCGCGAAGGAGTTCGCAGGCAGGCCACGTCCAGGCAGACGGAGACTCCAGGGAGAGCTCCCGGGAGATGGAGGCAGAGCTTCGTGCATCGCCGCCCCTTTGAGAGAGGGGCTGTGGGAGCCCCTCGGACAAAAGGGTACTTTTCCCTTCACGGCAGAGGAAGCTCGAACAGACACATCCCAGGTCGCCTCGGCTGGCTCGGCGGACACACCGGGGCATGGTTTGAAGGCAGAAGCACAGAAGTAAAAGTGCTTTTCTTGCCTTCAGCTCTGAGAGAAATCCTTCCGAACGAGAACGTGTGACCTTTGCTAAAACAGCAGATGAATGGAGGCTCCAGACAGGCCCGATGCCACCTGAAGATGGACGGGCTGATGCCTTCCATCTCCCTCCCTCTCTCCCTGTGGCACAGCACAGCTGTGTCCCCCCCCACCCTCTGCTCCAGGTCTCTGCTCCTGGTGAGCCGGGATGCACGATGGACACTCAGACTTTTCTGCGTCACTGAATTGATCCCTCATTGCCTGTGATCTCAGGGGCCCCTCTGATCTGCCACTTGCAAAAGACCTGAGACAGCTGATGGCATTCTGCAGTGACACAGTAACTGCCAGTTTAGGTAGAAGCCTTAGTGCTCAGCTGATCTTGTTCAACTACTGTTAACAGCTTCCGCACAACTCCTTGAGCAGCTCCATGGAATGTGCTGATTAAGGCCTTATCAGTGGAGTGTCTGGGGCACTGCAGGAGGGTTTTTGCAGGAACACCCATTGCTGTGCATCCAAATGAGTAATTGAAAGCATTGCCATGGCCAGGAATATTCCCCAGAAAAGCAGGCATCCCTGCACGTCCAGATTTTGTCAGATGTGAGCAGTTTGGCAGGGAGGTTCACATCCTGCATCCGTGTGCTCTGCCGACTCTGGCACAGACCAGCTGCACTGCTATATGGAAGAGCAAAGCTGTGGGCAGGAGCCTTCCCAGCTGACCTGCGCCCCAGGAAAGTCCCTGGGATGCAGAGAGCCCATTTTATGGGGTGGAAGGTTGACTCTCAGGGATTGGATTGCAGGTGTTGAGGAGATGAAGTAGTGAGCTGAAGGATCACTTAAGCTAAGGAACACCTTAGGCAGTTTGTAGGGGAGAACCGAACGTGAATAAAGAAACCAAGGAGGTAGTGGAGGGAGGGAGGTTGCAGCAGAGCTCCGGGAGGTGAAAAAGCTGTGGATTTTAGTGGTGTGAGGCAAAGCTTATGGAAGAGGCACCCCGAGAAGACAAAGCAGCAGGACAGGCGGCTCCTCGGGGGTCTGGCCACCGTCTGACCGCGCCGGGAGCGAGCCCATTTCTCGGGGGAGCCGACCTGTTCCCGTCCGGCGCTACGGAGGGAGCCCCATCTCCGGGGATCGCCGGGGGCAGAGGGGACGGGAGCGGCGCTGGGGCCGAGCGGAGCCGCGTCCTGATCCCCCACGGGAGGCAGCCCTGCTGAGCCAGGGCAGCGGCCTCGTAGCGGTGTCTGTGCGGGCCGGCAGCCAGAGCCGGCGGGCACTGCCGCTGCCTGGCCGCCAGGCGGCGAGCGCGGCCCGGCTGCTGCTGCAGTAGCGCCCCAGGCTGGGCCTGCCCAAGGGACAGGGCCGAGCTCGGGCGTGACCCAGGGGACAGGGCCGAGCCCACGGGCGTGACCCAGGGGACAGGGCCGAGCCCACGGGCGTGACCCAAGGGACAGAGCCGAGCCCACGGGCGTGACCCAGGGGACAGAGCCGAGCCTACGGGCGTGACCCAGGGGACAGAGCCGAGCCCACGGGCGTGACCCAGGGGACAGAGCTGAGCCTACGGGCGTGACCCAAGGGACAGGCCCGAGCCCACGGGCGTGACCCAAGGGACAGGCCCGAGCCCACGGGCGTGACCCAGGGGACAGGCCCGAGCCCACGGGCGTGACCCAGGGGACAGGCCCGAGCCCACGGGCGTGACCCAGGGGACAGAGCTGAGCCCACGGGCGTGACCCAAGGGACAGGGCCAAGCTCGGGGGTGCCACCCAAAGCGTAGAGCTGAGCTCAGATTTGATACCCAGACGACAGAGCTCAGCTTGGGAGCGTGACACCGAGCCCCACATCGGGGCATCATCGATATCCACTTCCCTGCCAGCTAAGACTGATCTCCAGGAGCCAAGTCGCAGATGAACAGTTAAAGCTTAACAATCAGAGTGTATAATCAAGCTGATTTAGCTCTACCCATCTCACTACAAAGTCAGAGGCATCAGAATTTGTTGGGAAAAAGAAAATTATTTTCCTGTCAACACAGTAGAATAAGCTCAGGTACAACATCAAGTGATGCAAGTGATGTAAATAGAGTTTGTGTCCTGCCTTCACTTGAGAAGGTGTATCTCTGAGTGTTCTTTTAGATTATAGCAAAGTGATAAAAACAAGGAATGGTCTAAATAAGCAGAGAAAGTTATGTTGGTGTATTACAGTGCAGATGAAGTTATCTTCCTAGACTCTAAACTTGGTGGGTAGAACAGATATTTTTAGCACATGTGAGTTACTTATTAGCTTCCTGTTAGGTTCCTGTTTGTCCACTGAACTGGTCACAGTCGAGTTTTTTCAGGAAGAAAAGGCAAGCAATTATTTAAGTTACTTCTGTTTTTCACTATGCTGCAGACAGTCTACAAGAAATACTCTTTTTAAAGATGGACTGTTTTAGGGAGTGTTTTCCCTTCATGTAATCTCCTATAGGACCAAGAATAAAAGGTGAAGGCAATGCAGGTTTGTGTAACATTATTTCACACTCTTTCAGCTTGTAATAGACAACAAAACTCAGTTTCACCATTTCTCTGCTTTTAACACTTAAAAAGCCAGTGACACAGACTGTGCTTCCACCTCAGCTAATAGCAGACCTAAATAAACTGATAGACCAAGGCAATGATCTCCATCATTAATCTAAAGCCAATCTACAGTAGTATAGATTTTGCTACATATTGAAGCTGTCCTGCATAGACACATTAAGAAATTAAGTTGTTTGAAAGAACTAATCAGACAATAAAACGTCTGCTTAAGGGGAGGGTATATGAACATGGCAGTAGTCTCTATAATTTGTTTCCTAAAGGCCAGGAGCTTGTAAAGAATTAAAGTCTGTGGTGAACAAGCTTTGAATCAGATTTTTTTTCTCTCCAGAAATGGGGTTAGTTAAGGAGATCAGGAATGCAGATTGTGAGAGTATTATTTATCTTGAGGAAGAAACCTCTGTGGATGACTGTACTTATTTCAGCTCTTTATCACAGAGTTTGTATGATACAAGGCAAATCACTTGACCCAAACTTTTCACGGGTGGTCCTTAAAGGTTTAATTTCTTGTGTACTTGAAAACAGCATGGAGTAGATTTTCAGGAGTGCAAATCACTAACTGTTGTAATTGAGATGAGTGATAGGAACCCTGAGGATCAAATGCTAAGGAGTGTTAAGAGTTCAAGCTGCACAGTAACAGCAGATCTCAGCTTGGGCATTGTACCAGTGCAGTGTTTAGCCTTGCTGGAGGCTAGACTTGGCTGTTTTGGTAGGAATCCAACACCTCACAAGTGTTTATAGAGATTTATTAAGGTACAGAGAACACAAGACCACAGTAGATCATAGATAGAATGGCCTGAATTGGAATTGACCTTAAAGACCATTCAGTTCCAACTCTCCTGCCAGGGGCAGGGACACCTTCCACTAGACCAGGTTGCTCAGAGCCCCATTTAACCTGACAAGTTCTTCCAGGGATGGGGCAGCCACAGCTTCTCTGGGCAACCTGCTAGTGCCTCAGCACCCTCATAGTGAAGAAATTCTTCCTGGCATCTAATCCAAACCAGCTGTCTTTCAGTCTGAAGCCATTTACCCTGGTCCAGGTACTCCAGGATCTTGTGACAAGTCCCTCTCCATGTTTCTTGTGGGCCCCCTTCAGGTACTGGAAAGCCACAATAAGGTCACCCAGATGGCTTCTTTTCTCTAAGCTGAACAATCCCAATTCTCTCAGCCTTTCCTCCTAGGGGAGCTGTTCCATCCCTCTGATCACCTTTATGGCCTGCTCTGGACTTGCTCCACCAGGTCCATGTCCTGCCTGTCCTGGGGACCCCAGAGATGGAGGCAGCACTGCAGGTGGGTGTAACGAGCTCTGCTGCTCCAGGATGGTTTAGGTGAATAGAGATGAGAGATCTCTGAAGGTTGCTCTTGGGGAATAAGGTTTATTGGGGATGCAGAAAGGTCCTGCCTTGAGCTGCCAGATGCAGCACACGAGGCTTAAGGAGGTGGGGGAGGGGAGAGACAAAAGGATGCTCTAGGAGATGGGGAGTTCTAAGAGGAGGGGAAGATCCAAGAGAGGGGGAAGTTCCAAGAGAGGGTCTGGTCCCTTGGAGCCCCCTTTTCAGGGGGCTTTAGGGTGGGCTGGAACAAGGCTCGGGCCAATGGGGTTACAGGCACTTGATGTTTTAGGGGAGGGTTACAGGTGTGGGGTGAACCAACCATACATCTTTTGGGGGGTGAGATGATTTGACCCCTGGACCCATCCGTAGGCAGGGGCATTGTCTGGCTAGCAGGGAGGACTGTTTTATCTTGGCTGTATTATTTATGAATAATTATATTTATCCATCCTTCTCAACAGGTGGGGTCTGACCAGAGTGGAGCAGAGGGGCAGAATCCCTTCCCTCCTTCCCCTGCTGCCCACAGGGCTTTGGCTGCAGCCCAGGACACACTTGGCTTTCTGGACCGTGAGTGCACATGGCTGGGTCCTGTCCAGCCTCTCATCCCCCAGCATTCCCAAATCCTTCTTGTCAGGATAAGCAGCAGTTAATATGGCCAGTCAGTTTTATACTACAAAATGTAGTTCAGAAATATTTTTTTAGGCACAGTGTCATGCCACATCTAAAGAGAAAAACAAACAAACAAACAAAAAAAATCCAAACAGGCAACTTCTACTTTCATTAAAAGAAAAAAATTAGTCATCAGATCCTGATAGTTATGTCTTATAACACATGCCATGCTTCATTCATGATTTCAAGGCTATTTGGTTTTGTTCACATGTAGCTGTTTCTTTTTGGAACTTGAACTAGTTTAGAATTTGAATATGTTTATAATTTGTCATTTCCTAATTGCCTTATTGCATACTTAACTGAAGTCACACAATAACAAGCTGAAAGCAAATCTTAAATTTAGGATGCAGCAGAAGGTGTGCTCACAGGGTATACTCGCATACAATTTTGCATTTTAACTGCATATCTTTGTGTCATCTACACAAAGGAAATAAACTCATTTAATTACAGCATAACTATTTTTTTCTGGTGAGTCCACTTCATTTATAGAGACAATTGACTTTACTAGGAGTTAAGCTGTAGGCATAAATTACTGAATGTGACAACACAGATATTCTGTAGATCTGGTTTTACCTGCTCTGCATGGAACCAGCAGTCTATGTTACTTTCTGAACAATATTTGTGGGTTCTTTTTCCAGGAAAATATATGATATTTACTTTGTCATTAAAACAGCTTACATGCCATTTGCTGCCATTGCTCTACTACAAACATATTTGTAGTTATGGCTTTTAATGCTTGCTTACTTACTAACTTTTAAGACATACCCTTATTTTTGGGTATGTCTTAAAAGTTATTTTATGCACTGGGATAAGCCTTTACTGTGGAGTGTTTGCTCCTGCCACACATCTAATTTCTGCTCAGAGTTATAGTTACTGTAGAACAGCATTTCACCCCCATTCAGCATGTAAAAGCAGCTGCAAGATCATTGTGTTAGGTCATGCTGTGGAACACAAAATTGATTTGTTGCTTGAGCTGCCTTTCTGTCCTTATGGTTTCAAAAGCCTACTATGAAGTCACTACCATTCACTGATGTTACTGTGAAGCCACAAACTTTGTTACAGCATTAGTGGAGACCGGGTAGCTGTCCAGATAGAAGAAAACCCTGCAGCAACATTTGTATAAAAAATGAGATGAAGTCCTTGACAAGGAGTTCAACTCTCAAACTATAACCTGCTAGGATACAGCCCAAGCTGCAGAATACCTTAGTTTTTTGCTTTGCTTTGAAGTATTGCCACAGACCCTGGCTGAGGTCAGTCCTTACTCAAGGAGTGTCCCTTCAGAACCCCTATGAGACTTATCACTCATGGGATTCCATCCTTTCTGTAAAACAATTCACAGAGGAGAAAGCCCTCTTGCACATTTATTTTACTATCACTTTCTTGTTCTCAGCAAGCTCATTTGAGGGTAAGCAACAGTTCTGTGAGTCACAGTGTGCTGCAGTCATTAATACTCCCACTGGACTTGCAGTGCTACTGTGCTTTTTCTCCTAATACCTATAAGCTGTTGTATTAGACAGCTTTGCAGAGCTATTAGAGCCTGTCCTGTAGCCTTTCAAGAAACAACTAATTATATTTTTCACACATGTAGCTACATTCTGTGCTTTACAGTAACTGAAAACAACTAAATTTAATACTAAATCAGAAAAAAACCCAGAAAACAACCAGAAAAAGAAACCCTCCAGATAAAGAAAAGGCCCAAAACAGCTCCACTTACCAGACAGAAGCAACTTCGTGTTTCACACCCTGTACTGTATGGAAGCAGCAGCTGTTTGCCATTGCCAAATGTACAGGAACAGCCTCCAGAACTGTGCTAAGGGTGGGTTTATATAAGGGTCCTGGCTAGGGAGTGGTCAGTAATGTGGTGGAGTTGTGGGATTTGTATATCCTTAGGTGTTTGGTGGTGTAGCTGTGTCACAGTGAAGTCAGTATGTAGTGTTGCTAAAAGAGAGCTAGTTCTTTTATAAAGAATTTATAAAAGCAACATTTTGGGTCTAGAATAGTTAAATGTTATTTATCTACTTTAAATATAATTTTCTTGCTGTTTTTGTTTATGATTTATTGTCTTGTACCTGCTTAAAGAATTTTCTAAGTATTGTATGTAAGTATCTTTAAGTACAGACTCTTCTAATTTATTTAATAAAGGTAAAATATTGCAGTTCTTGAGGAAGAAAGGCTTTATTACTGTCTAGCATGCATTTTCTTATTTAACTGTTATAGATGCCTACTGTGATTTTCTGTAATGGCTCTCTTTTAGTTACTACCGTGTGAATTTTCTTCCGACCCTTTAACTAGTGCAAAGGGTTGTGAGGGATTTCTAGCTAGTGGTCTGCATTTGTATTATTTTTCTTTATATTTTCTCAGAGTTACTGTGTAATCAGTATCTCTGGGGCTTAGCTTTTGACTGCCTGTGGTTTTCAATATTCTATATTTATGGTTAAAATACTTATTTTGAGGGGCGAAGGTGGCTGCCTTAGGCAGCTGAAGATGTTTGTGCAGTTTTGAGGATAGCATTTTCAAGTTTAACCTCTTATGGTTTGTATCCTCTAAAAACTGCACTTCAAGAGATCCTTGCTGCTTTTTCAGGTGTAAAGGTTCACAGCATGAAGAGGTTTGACATTGTGTCTGAGCTGTTCTGATGAAGAGCTGCCACTAGAAAATACAGTAGAAAGCTGTTTTTTGTTTTTTGTTTTTTTTTTTTTTTGGTAGCTGGTTTTCTGGAACCCCACTAGCTTGTTCCTGTGAGGTTTTAATTAGTGATTTGAAATAATGATAGAATAATAATATCATGATTCTAGGTAGTTTTGCTTTTGAATCAGTAAAAGCTTCACAGATTCAGATGTTGTTAAGACTAGTTAAATAGTTACTTTGAAAGTAGTGTACTTAAAACAATATGTGTGTGTGTTTAGTCCTTTTTTCCCCAGTTTCATTATAATTCAAATTCATACAGTTACAGTTTGTGTACTCAAAAATGTGCCAACTGCTTTCCCTCACAATGTAGCTTGTGCTAAAATAACCCTTTTATGCTTTTTTTCCAAGCTGTTTTGGGTTTTGCTCCAAAACCCAAGTAAGTATTTGATCCTGTGTCTGGAACAGAATGTATTTTGCATTGGGAAATAAAACCAGACTTGTAGTTTTTGTCTCCCGTGTTGCAGCACACATGCACTAATACTCACTGAGAACCTGTAGGCTGAGAACCTGTGTAGTATTTTCTGGATAAGATACTTACACAGAGATCTACTGGCTCTTTCTGGAGCTTACCTTATCTGAAGAAGGTGCTTGAGTGCCCATAAGAATTTCTGTTCTTCTTTGGCAGAACTGGACTGGTCTGTGCCTTACAAAGGCGTGATGGTTTGGAATTTGCGAAGCTGATGCAGAGGGTGATCTCCCTTATTGATCACTGCAGGTTGATGTTGAAATGGGAGGGTTTGTTGCCTGAAATCCTGAACTCTGGAACTGTGAGGAAAAGAAGTACACCTGGGAAAAAAAGTGTTACACAGCAAGCCCTGAGAGGACCTTCAATGGCTGAAATGGTTGTTGAGATGAAAAATGCCACTCATAAACTGCAGCTGTCACTGAAGCTCCCACCACAGCTTGTACCTCATTTCATTAGAGCTGTAGGATATGTACAGCTATGGGAGCAAGGTGATTGTTGCCTCAGGTACTTGTGTTTGCTTGCCTTGTCAGGTGCAGTTACTGACAGATGGCTGTGAGGAGCTGAGAATATGCCTAGCTCAGGATGGAGCGCTTGTCTTGGCACTTGGGCTGTTTTGTCACTGTCATGCTTTGTTTGTGGGTTCTGCAGGTTATACAGCAGTAGAACAAGTACTGCATGTATTAAGACAGTCCTTAGATGTGAAGTCTGGCATGGAAGAAAGCAACATGCTGGTTGGCAAAACAAATAAAAAATGGTAGGGAGAATATAGGGGGATACATTCAGGATGAATATGAAATGAACAACAGGGATGCAGCAGTGACTGAAGGTTTGCTGGGAGGTTTAGTTGAGTGATAAAATATTGGGAATAAAAATGCAAAGCTTAGATGGGTGTTGTCAGAGCCTTGTGTCCAGGTGGAGCTGTGTGGCACTTGTGTGTTGGGGGTGTTTGCCAAGGATATTTTAACTTCTCAGATCGAGGCTCTTGGCTAATGAACATACAGCAGTCAGCAGTTTAGAAGATTTACTTAAGTAATAACATATATTTAACTACTTTGTGTGCATTATGTAGGTGTTTTATATTATGTTAATTTCTAAGTGAGCCTCTTTGGGTGTTACTCACTTGGTTAACAGAGGTAGGTTATGTGACCATTAATATTTCTGTAGGCTTTTTTTTTCTGTTGTGTGAAGCCTAGATAAGTGTTATACTTTCTGTTTCTGTAAAACACATGTAAACACATGACAAAACAGACACCCCCACCAAATGCCAAAACACAAACACACAAAACCCGAACTTGCTCTAAATCTGTTGTGATTTAAGCAGAGGTGGCAGGTAACAGCCTGACTGAAAATGCTCAATTTGGTGATTTTGTCACTTCAGGAATGTGGCTGTGTTCAGTTACAGAGGGATGAAGCATTTGGAGTAGCTCCCTAAATGGCAGGGGACTGGTAACCCAGATGGTTCTTTCTGGCTCTTTAATTTCCTACCCCAATGTCTTGTGTGGAAGTTCCAGGGCTGTCCTTTTGTGTTCCCTTTAAATAAGTGCCTGCTTATCCCTTTTATGGACTATGGGGAATCTTTGAGGAGAGCAGGTGGGATTGTCCTGAACAAAGGTGGGTGCTGGTTTTTTTTTTTTTTTGGTATAAGAGCATGGGCCATTCCTGGTGGTGTTCCAAGTCAAGGGACTTTTTGCCGATGCGTGGTGCCAGTGAATGAAATAAATTTCCCTTTCTACCTCTTGAAGTGTGTGGTGTGGATCCTGTGTGGATTCCCTGTGCAGCAGGCACCTCACATCTGTCAGGTAGTTGGTTTTGACTTTTGTGAATGAAGCGGTGTATGTGCTTGAAAGCCAGGGCTCTAAAAATCCCTGACATCTGTATTCTAAATTATATTCTGAGTATATGGGAAGGAACTCATCTGAGATTAAATGGAATGTGAAATTATGTTTAGCTGGGAAGAATATGGATTTACTGCTGGTGATCAGAAGGAAAACAGTTTCTGATAATAAAAATAAAGTATTGTGTTGAGGAGACTTAATGGTGCTTCTATAATCAATGTGAAACATGCAAATGAGGTTGCCAGATGGCACAAGAGAAACTCCTGTAGATTCTAGCAAAATAAATAACACTTCTTGTGGTGAAAGTGAACAATGAACAGAAATACTTATAATGCATTCTTTTACAGTAATAGGCTATTCATGAAAAAATAATAGATTCCAGGCTAATCTATCACTACCAGCGGGAGGTGCCAACATCTCAAGTATTGACAAAACTTTTTTTCTTGGGTTATTTAATTTTTCAATTTATCATTAAGCAATAAAATCAATGACTCAAGCCCCTGTTTGAAGGAAGTTGTAATAACCTGAGACCACTCTACTTGAATAGAAGCCCTCAAAACAAACATGAGTAGAAAATTTCAGACGTCTGTAACTAGAAAGAAATATAAGTAATCTTGGAAAGGTGCCAGGGTCTTAAAAAACCAGGCTGAGATACTTTGCACCAAAAGGCAGATCATACTGATGACTTTGAGAAAGCATTTGCTCTTAATGATTAAATGAAATTTTTTCTTATCCAGAACTTATATACTTCAAGGAGCAGCATGCATTATTGCTTGTATTATTACTTGATTGCACTTGCCTGGAAATTACCGAGATGAAACCATTTAAATTCATTCACACTAAGCAGTATATTTGCTCAGCTCAGTTTTTAATCTGTTAAGAAACACAGTATTTAAAATTAAAACCAATCCTATATATAGTTATTTTCCCCCCACACAGTCTGTAATAGGCTGATGTAGCTTTTTCTAAAAGAAATATGTCTGAGTAATTGCAGAGGTATTTGATAGTTTTCTCACACAAATTTAAAAGTCTTCATTTACCTTCCTGTGCCATCCCTGTGTGTGGATGTGTTGTGCCACTGGAGGCAGCAGGCTGGCCCTGGGGGAAGGCACTGCTAAATACTGATATCTGTGTGTCCCAGCTAATGCTGCTGGAGAAACAAAAGAATGAAACTGTTCTCCAAAACGCTGGAGTGGCCTTCATGCAGGAAAGAAAAGGTTTCTGGGGAAAAGTGAAAGAACGAGATAGTCTGACTGGCACCCCAGGCTGCAGAGGCAGGAGAAGGAACTCTGTGCCAAACTGAGAACACAGGACAGCACTTGCTGCAGGCTCAGATGGATTCTTGTGCAGTCCAACTCTAGTTGATTGTGTGCTGCTGTGTACTCTGGGCATTTGTTAGCAACTTTGAGAGAGGCAATCTCTTTTGATTCATGGAGCATCATCACATTGGGGATCTAACTCTCATAATTCTTGAAAATAATCACAGTGCCTTAAGATTGAAGAGTTTCAATCAAAGGATCTCTGAACTGGGAATAGGTTTTGTGGTAGGGTACTGCTGTGTTGAAGACCTTATCAGGCAATTTTTCTGATCTGGAATCTGGTGTCTTAACCCAATTCAGTGTGTGGTTCCTGAGAGTTGGAGCAAGATGATCTTTAAGTTTTCTACAACCCAAACCATTCTATGATAAAGAATTCAGGTGAGATATGCCTCAGCAACATGTAATTAAACAGAAGTGCAGGCAATCTCTGGGGACTGCAGGGGCCTTCGTGAGAGTACAAGCTACTGCTTGTGGCATGTCCATGTGGGAGCTGCAGTGCCAGAGGGTGGCTTTTTGGGAAGAATGATACTGGCAGGTACAGCCAAGGACCCTGCTGCAGTGGGCAGATGGTCATGATTCACTTTTGCACTTGAAGTAACTGTTCAGGATGCAGGCATTATCTGGGATTTATGTGCCAGCAAATGACCAAGCATCTGATCTTTAAATCTGTTTAAACACCTAAAGTTCAGAGAAAATGCACTTAAGAACAGTATGAATTTCTTAGTCACTGAAACCAATGAGATCAGTACATTTTGGTATCTTAGTCTGATCACTGGGCTCTGCTTGTCACACAGTACTGTGTTCCTTTCCCATGATCACTCTTTTATCATTACTCTTCTTGATACAGTTCTCCTTTTCAAGTGCTGTCATTCTTTTTTCTTCTCACAGCACTGATGTGAGCATGAAAATCCAGATGAGCCAGAAACAGGTGTCAGCTGAATGTTGCAGAGTGCCAGTGTAGCTCAGCACTGCAGCACTCTGCAAGTACTGTGCACTTAGCAGTGTGCAGCCTTCTCTTCTGCACCTGCTGTGGCAGGCACCTGTGCTGCTGGCCAGGTGACTGGGCACTCAGGCACAGCAGGAGCTGATGGTTCAGCAGGAGAACCCCAGATTACACAAAAACTGTGAGAGTATAAAAGGGATTCCTTTGTTCAGGCTTCCTCCCTGGAAGCACCAGCTCCAGCTGGATTTGTGTTACTGTGCCATGAGCCAGTGAGGAATCCTGTGTGAGTGTGGGGTGTGCAGGGAGCCAGGTGGGGACCCACTGAGTCACTGGAACTGCCACTGCAAAGGGGCTTCAGTCTGAGCAGTGACAGTCTGGGGTGGTGCCACTGTCACCCCAGGAGTGGCACCTGAAAGGTCAGACAGGAAAGTTTCCTTAACATCGGGAAATGTCAGGACACAGGGCCAGAAATAGAAGCTGACAGGTATGCTGTCTTGAGGGTGGCTGAGTTTTCCTGTTTTTATCCATTTCTCTCCTTAGTTATCTCTTCAGTTTTCTGGTTCCTGTAGGTAGCATGGCCCTAGGAACAGGGCTTTGTACCTGGGCAGTTTGCCTTTGGATGAGCAGAGGTCCTTAAGGTAATTCTGATTGTTCCCTAAAGTGCAGATAGCTGCCAGAACTACTTTCATACTGAAAATACATGTTATGCAACAACTATCATTGTTTTCTGTATAAATATGACAGTATTGAGGATAAGAATACCTCTTGTGTCCTTAAGTTCCCAGTATATTCCTTGAGCCTACATAGTAGATAAACGACCCATGCATAAACTTTCCTGCAAAATGAGCCCCATTCCTGGAGCTTGTGCTCTACCTGCTGCTCACAGAATGATGCATGTGAATTATTAATTATATAAATTACTTTGAAACTAGCTGAGCCATGAATCCAGGGCAACAGTTTCTCTGTTACTCCAGGGTCAGGACACAGAGGTGAATTACACTGCATGTTAATGTGGTGATGGTATAAAGATCAAAAGTACCTGTAATATCCTGGAGTTCACAAAGAGGCAGCAGCAGAAATGTAATAAAAAGTAAAAGGAGCAGGCCCTACTTGTTTCTCTCCTTGGATTTGCTGTCAGGATTGTGATGAAGCACCAGGGTTGGAACTGTTTTGCCAGAGATATCAGTCCTGTCTGAGATCTCCACTATTTTATTTTACTTTTTTTTTCTGGTCTTTTACTTGATTAGCCTCTTAACCTTGCACATTACACCTGCCATTATGCACAGTTGCTAAAGTGCTGTTCAATTTACCCCAAGTGCAAGATGTTTTATGTTGAAATTGTTCAGCTAAACTCCTGTGTTTTTTCTTAGCTTTCATCAGGGCATGTTGCTCTCTGGTTTGCAGTGGGGAGCCAGATTCAGAGCAGTATTGATGTGTTTTTCCCTGCTTCCAAGGCAGGGGAGACACAGCCAGGCATTTTAATCTCTCTTCTGTGAAGACATTGTAAAATATAAATAGGCAATCTCCAAACACAA